GTTCGTTCTACGTAACGTACTCTCCTCCTCTCTCTCTCTCTCTCTCTCTCTCTCTTTCACTCACTCTCTTTCTCTCTCTCTCTGAAATCAAACGGCTCAACACATCGATACAACACATTCCTACGATAATCGATATCTTCTATTATACGATATTAACGATACATACATTTTTCAAAATATTAAAATACTCGCTATATCACGTTGTTTTTCATAACGCGAGCTCTCTTTATCGGCCCACGTATGAGAGTAATAAAAAATAATCTCGAGAGAAAAAAGAGAAAAAAAAAAAAGACCAACAAGAAGGAAAACAATTTTACAAAATAAATAAAAATCGCTACTTTTTAGAAAAGTATTACAAGTTTTTCTTCGATCGAACGATCGAACTAACTAACCATCTACACGATAACTAACCATCTTTCCTTCTATCTATCTACCTATCTCTTCTTTCCTTTTCACGCTTCCTTTCGAAAAGAAACCACATTTTCTTTTTTTCTTCTTCCTTGTTTTTTTTTTTTTTTTTTTTGCCTCGATCCACGCGACTATCCCATTAAGATACGATGTAGTCCGCGGAATGATGGGAGTGATGAGAATTTCGATGCTTGTCCTTCCTGTGATTCGTCCTCGAGTTGCTGCTGCGCGTTCCGGTTGTCCCGGTGGTACCGGAAGTGTGATGGCTGTACCCGCTGTCGCTCCCGAAACTGCTGTCCGGCTGACCTTGATACAATCTGCCGGAAGTAATTTGCTCGGTGTCGCGTGGCGCGTAGTAAACCGGCTGCGTGTACTTGTCCTCGTTGTAGAGGCGGTCGGTCGGCTGCGAGTAGGTGTCCGAGTATTCGCTACCTACTTGGGTGTACACAGGGGCAGTGTCCTGGTTTTGCAACCCGTAATACTCGGCCCCGTATTGCGCGGTGTATTTGTATTTGTCGTTTGACTTGCGGCACCTCTCTTTATTGCTTCTGCTTTGACTCGAATAATGATGGAGAGGGCCGAGTACCGGCACGCTCTCGTACGGGTTCTCCTCGACCCTGAGAGCCTGCGTGGCTGGCATCGGTGGCACGAAATAAGGTAATCTGTGGGCCACTGACGGGACGGACTGTTGTCGTTGATTGCCATTCGATCGGGTCCCAGCCACACCTGAAATCAAATTTCGATTTCCATCGATCCCCTCATCCTCCCCTTTCCTTCGTATTCGTCTTATTTATCGATTCGAGAACGTACCCGCGACGCTTGGATAAAGTTGAAGCAGCGCGTCGAGCAGCATCCCCTCGTGGAACTCGCCCACATCGTGATTCTTGTCTCTCCTGTGCCTGTCCAGACTTCTCGGGCTTTTCCCTCGCCTCTCTCGCGGTGGCCTGCCACCGGCTGGACAAGTGCCCCAGCTCGGGCCCGTCGAGGTGAGCATCCTCGCCTCGGACGGTTCACCGACCGATAACTCGTCCTCCGCGAACTCGTCCTCGCTGCCCGGTTTCGACGAGGGCCGATGATGATGATGATGATGCCGGTGATGATTGTGGAGCCGATTCCGCGCGTTCAACTCGCTCTCCTCGTCCGTTTCCGGATGGTCCCCTGCAACCGAATGAATAATTTATAAGTGCCGCGCGGTGGCTGCGATAATTAATTGGACGGTTCGTTAATTAATTAACAGAGACAGCCTCTTTCGCGTGTCAAAGTTACGATTATCCACCGCGCGCGCCGTGGATTATATCGAATCGAATGCGTGCTTTCAATTTTCAGCTTGGGAATCAGTGTCGGGATTAATTAGTTAGAGAGAGTGTCCCCCCGTCCCTGTGTTGCGTCGTTTTATTTAAATTCCAACTTTGCCACCAAGTGAGTGGATATGGAGCGATTGTGTTGAGCGAAAGTATAGCCACGGAAAGGGAAGCGTGCTGCCGTCATTAGTCGCCCGATACAATGAAAGGAAAGGAAGCTACGCGTCTCCTCGCGTTTTCTTTTAATTCGCGCTCCAATTTCCCTTCCTCCTCTCGCGACTTTTCGCGTCTCGACTCTCGATAATTGAGCCACACTCGCGATCGTGTTGTGCACGCATGATATATCAGCTCGCCCCAGAATAAACTCGATTTACATCGGAATCATTTAGGGGAAAAAAAAAAAAAAAGAAGGAAAGCGTGGTGGTTAAAAAATCAAAAAACTGCCATTTTATTCGCGCGGTGAATTTATCTTTTCCATCGTTTCCAATTATACACGGGTTCACCCAATTTCACGTTTCGATTCTTTCCCAACTCTTTTCTTCCTTTTCTTTTTCTCCCTACTCTCCCTCCTCCATCTGCCATATTTCGCGTGAAAATGGAAAACAATATGGGAAACCTCCACGTGATAACGTGCGTTTCGATAAACTTCGCCTCCCCCGATCGCAAAAGGGAACTGGCGAAACGAGACAGCGATGCATTCGATTCCCGCATGCCGGTGATGCGAATCTCAGGATGCATTGTTGCGCATTTTGTCGTAAAACGAAGAGAGAGAGAGAGAGAGAGAGAGAGAGAGAGAGAGAGAGAGAGAGAGAGAGAGAGAGAGAG